TTGCGACAAAAAAGGGTTTTCGTATAATTTCCAAATTCAAAATGTGAAAATTAAACAGGGAATCATTTTTTTTTTTTTTTTTTTTTTTTTTTTTTTTTTTTTTTTTTTTTNTTTTTGGCGTTATGAACTATGCATATTAGCCATGTGACAATTCGTATATGTGTGTTCAGATTTGGGGGGTTATTGGGAAAAAAGGGCCAGGGGCAACGGTGGGAATCGAACCCACGACCGCGGCGTGAGAGTCTCTCATGCTAACCACTCGGCTACCGCGGTCCCCAACAGGGAATCATCAAGAAGAAAAAAGCCAGCAGGGAAAAATAATATACGATATTGCCTGAAATCGCTCAATCCTAGTGTAAACTGGAAGGCCGCATCATTGGTGCGGCGAGGTACCGGTGTTATTTTCGATGCGATAAATTCCGTGTTGTCACCGGCGCGGCGGAGCGATATTTCATGACCCTATTTTATTATTTTATGTTAATTCGTCTCATTTCCGAGACTGTCGGCAATAAAATCTCAGCAAGTAGCGCTTTCATTCTTCGGTCGCTCCGAGACTTTATGTGTTTTACACATGTCAGCTTTCGCTCAGCGCTATTTTCTGACTTGGCAGCTATACTTCCGTACGGTTTAGATATTGAGAATTTAAACATTTTAAAAAGAGCAACAACAACTAAGCATGAAATATTTTCAAAAACGTGATGATAAATATAAGTGAAATCAAGATTATTGCATGAAATATTATCAAACGGAAAATACATATTTCTTTTACTATGAAACTGTTCCATTTTCCTTCAATGTCTGAAAATTTACTTCGTACAGCTTCGTATATAATGTAAAGATATAAGAGTTATTAAAAAAACTCTCTTCTGAAAACAACACAAAAGCAGGTTTATATTTTCTGGACGAAGTAGACATAAACAGTAAAAAATACATTAATATAAGAAGGAGCTATTAGCATTTTTAAAGAATATATTTATATTTTATGCAAAAATCAAGCGTTGTTGAAATATTGGTCTAAGCCATTTAAAGAAAACACCTAATTGGTGAATATTGACTTTAGTAAACATAGTTAAATATTATTAGCTAAAACCTGCAAGTACGTATAGCTTAGGATGAGCTTCAAATGGAAAAGTTACATCTAATCGTACATTTTAGCTTTTGCAGAGGTTAAATATTATTTTAAACAGGTAATTTTAATCAGCAAACGTTTTTAAAATATGTGTGGTGATTAGTGACCGTTAATCGATATTTATTTAGAAATCGTGAGATGCGGTCTGGTGTGATGTAGGTTTCAGAAAAACATTTTCTTTATCGTGCCAACGTTTCGATCTTTATTGAGATCATCTTCAGGGCTCAAAGAGTTTGTTTTCTGCGTAAACACTTTGAGCCCTGAAGATGATCTCAATAAAGATCGAAACGTTGGCACGATAAAGAAAATGTTTTTCTGAAACCTACATCACACCAGACCGCATCACACGATTTCTAAATAAAAAAAGTTTTTAAAATAATAAACAAGACAAATCTTTCTTGATGATCTACTGAAATTTAAAAATTACCGAATAAAGAGCCTTTAAGTTAACTTTCATAAACCTAGTGGCTGTAGTTACTACTACTAATGGCCCTTCAGGTTCCTATTTTTAGAAAGAACCTGAGCATGATTTTATGACCAATGATTATATTTTAATGGCGTGCATAACAGGTTAAACTGTTCATATTGCATTCAGTAGTTGAATTCGCGAAAAAAAATATTTGCCTTAAGATTGAAAAGACTTGCTTAGTCATTATTTGGTCGTAATGAAAACATTTTTTATAAACAATTTAAATTGTAGTGAACATTTCACGAGGAAAAGAAGTTCATTTTGCTGAAAAGTGCATGCAGGCATAGTTCGCACATATCGTTTGGTCAGTTGTTTCAGTTGTGAGAAATGGATAAAAGTTTTTTGAATAACGCTCGAGAAAGCACAGTATCCCTTGGAAATGTCATAAATAAACAAAGTCTATTTTTTTTAACGCCAACTCGCGCATAATAAAGTGGGTTTTTGTTAAATTTATGCTCATTACTGGTTGTTGTCCCTGTGACAAATTCAATGAAAAGACCAGATTTGTCAACTGTCAGCAACCAGCAATTGGAATACACGAACATTTGAAGTTCAAAAGCAAAGAAACTTTTCAATGAATAGTATATTTTTGCTAGAAATAGAAAATGCACACAATTTGCGGCCTTGCTCAAATGTGGATTATTCGCTGAATCCTCAGACTTTTTTCAACGCAAAGTGTTGGCAACGATTTTGCATAACAAATAGCCGACACTGACAGGTAACAAAATCCAAAGAATTGAGATATACTTTGTGAATACTAAATATTGGAGAACACGTATAAATAAACAAACTTTTTTAAATATTGCTTAAATGAAAAATTACATTCTCCCGGAAAAGGTTAGCAATGTGAACAGTAGAGTTCAATAAATTGTACTATCATTAATACTATGTTGATTCCAATAATCTTTTGACCCAGAAAAGTTAAGTTTTTCGCTATCAATCCTTCAGCAAACACTTATTTTTTTCCCGCGAGTGAAACATCAGTAATTTATAACACACTGTTAAGCCATGCTGAGCTATTCTCGACAATGCCTTATGTTACACGTAAGTCCTACGACAGCATAATAAACGAAACGTTCGCATACTTTAGGAGGTTTCTGTGAATCTTTCAAGAGTCAAGGTATGACTTTTTAATAACATGGCCACGTTACGTTAAAACAACTTTGAATAACAATTCCACATAGTAAAACGAATATAAATAAATGATATTTTCACTAACTTTTTGGTCGAAAATAAAGTAAGTTAAATCACCCACGAATGTTTTGTAAGCATTGGCCGGGTTTCAATCGATAAAAGGTCAAATCGAGATATTCGATAGATTAAAAATTTAGAAAAGCCGTTAAATTTACCAACAAGCAAAAAGCAATCAATTTAGCCTTACATAATCGCTCAGTATCAGGAAGACCTTTGACTTTAAACATTTTCCGCTTCTTTGACCGTTGTAAAATTATTCTTCACGTCCTAGTAAATCCTGTTTCCATGTGAGTGCTTTTTTTCATAAACGGGTTTACAGACCTAGTGCTTAAAGATTGTACACGTATAAGGCGTATGTAGACTTTGTAGACGAAAATTGTTAATTATTACGCCGAGAGTCTCCATCGTTATGTCATTAAAGAAAAATTCGAAGTCAGGACAGCTCAAGTGGTAGAGGGGCGGCGTATTTAGCCGAAGGTCGTGGGTTCGAATCCCACTCGTGACACTGACTTTTTATCTCAACCAATACCTTTCATAAACATGAATTAATGGAAAAATTTTAATTGGTCAATCGGACCACGAACTGTAATGGGTTAAATAAAAAGAAAGGCAATTTATGAAATTATTTAACAAATGGAAGGACGACTAATTAAGGGCTAAGGGGAAAAAGTACAAATTAATTTAAAAACAATACGGAAGACGGTTAAATATTTACTTTTCAAATTACCTATTTAATCTTCCATCTAATTCTTTAGAAATTGTGCAATTTAATTCGTACCACACAGGTCCAAGAAATAAAAACTCTTTACAAAATAAACTGTAACAATATTGCAATGCTAATTGTTAGTTAGAAAAACATTTATTAAGGAGCCCAACCTGCGTGATATACACAAGCATAATAATTTTTCAAAAAAGGTTTTCTGAACAACACGACACAATCTAGGACTTAAAAAGCACATACGATATTATGTGACAGTACTTCATCCCTATCCCATTTAGGAAGTAGGCGAGTAAAGATTAAGCGAGCTTCGAATGTTAAAAGAAGTTGATACAATCTATACAACTGAGGGCCAACTGTTTCAAAGATAATGACTACTTTAACGTGCCTAGGAACACATATGTGTACGTAACTGACGAACAATTTCCTCAGAGGGCAAGAGGTTCTGAACTGGACTGACGACCTTGTTATGGAATACCCCGATTATCAGGACCATTGGAATTGCACTTGAAATACCTTTTTTTTTTAAAGAATGTAATATAAAATAAATATAAAGGTTCCTTTCAAAAGCTTGGAGAAAGTGTTGAACTTAGGCACAAGAAAAATCGTAAATTGTAAAAATAGAAGAACTTGGCCAGGTAGACAACTTTCTTTTTTGAATCCATTACATTTCGTGGTCCGACTGACCAAATAACACCTTTCAATTAATTAATCTTTATGTAAAGTATTGGTTGAGATAAAAATGGCAAAAAGGAGGGAAAATTCGAAAGATTGGGTTGAGGTGGGAAGTTGGTGTCCGAGTAGATCGAAGGATAGCTCAAGTGGTAGAGCAGCGGCGTATTTAGCCAAAGGTCGTGGGTTCGAATCCAGCTCGTAACACTAACTTTTTATCTCAACCATACATTACCTAACGATTAATTTTATTTTTTGAGTTGAAACTTGGTCCCGGTGTTTTAAATTTAAAGCTGCAAGGATATGTTCCTTGCATTGGGAACAGCCCGTCTTCAAAAATGTACAAAGGAAATATTTTTGAAAAAAATTTTATGGTTTTTTTTTCGTGCATACAGAAATAGTAACAAAAAATTAATTATACCACGACAACCTGGCTGCACAGACGGGACTGTTTTAAATTTCTAAAAGACTTCGAGTAACTGATAAACGAACCACAAAGGCCAAAAAAACAACTACCCATAGTTAAACTTTGAAGAAAATAACCTTACGACATGATGCAACAAAAATTGACTCGGCTTAGTCGCCAGTTTATATTGGGGCCGCTCCCATTGTTTACTCGCCTCGATGCGGATCAATCCCGGTTAAGTTAGGAAGCGGGATTGCGGATGAATATAGTCGTGAGAATCAATACGCACACATTGTGGATGCAGTTGCTAATCAAGCCAGCCGAGTAGGGATAGGCGGAATAATTGTGAGATTCCTCGTGTTACAAAAAGGAAGGACGTGTTTTAAAAAATATCTATACAGAATTCAAATACCTGAGACCACTTCCGTTTTTCTTGTCCCGTATGGCTCTTGGCCTGTTTGCAATTGATTACTTCTAGCTCCTCCTCAGAACTGTGTTGGTCGTAGCCCTGATCACAATCACTCGGGAGTGCAGAGTCCAGGAAGTAAGGCGACGCCGGAGTTAACAAACTGCTCCGACTTCGGCTTAGTGCAGTAACTACGCTACCACCTTCGCTTTCCATGCCTAAAGAAAATAATTAAAAACGTTAATTAATAACAAAAATTTTCGAACATTACAGGAACTTAAAGATTAAAAAATCACAAGAGAACAGATGTGCCAACGGGGAATTATTTTAGGCTTATTTTACAATTAAACTTTATCAAATTAAATAATTGAATAAAAAAGGGTACAAAAAAGGTACACACAAAAACAAATATTTATACATATTATACAAGTTGATGAACTGTGTTGTTTTTGCCAACTTTTTCACGGCCAATCATAACAACGCGTATGTTTTCAGGGCAAAACACGAGAATAAACGGACCTGTGATAGACCAACTATCAGCATTAATGGCGCAGTTAGTCCGTGAAAACAATATCTTGATGGCAGTTCGTCATATATGCATGAATAACACGGTTGGCAACGTCAGAATTCTAGGTCGTAAATAATCCTGATATAACTAAGGTTCTAGAGTACAGGTCGATTCAACCGGGAAGTTTCAATGTTAAACGAGCGTTGACTTGTCAAAAAAAAGCAATTTTACTCGGATAAGTAGGGAGTTTTGAGGCGAAGACCTTGGAAAAGTAGATTTTCCGGTTCGCTCCTTTTCCTTTTTACTGGACCTCTTAAAAGATGCAGGAACGAGAAAAGTCCTAATGTCTTTAAAAATCCCAGAGGATGAGGAAATTTAGGGGGGAAACGTATCAGGACGAACGCACCAAGTAGCAATTTCTATAAAAATTCGCAATTAATGAACTTAAATAAGATTGCGAAAACAAACTGATCAAAAAATTCATATTTGCCTAACATACTTAACAAATTTTTAAATGCCAAACCTCTCAATACATTTTCTAAAAAAGCAAACAGACGTATATTCTCGGATATTCTGAACCAAAGAAACATCAACCCTGACAAGTTGGGATCATAATATGAGAATAGCCTTGTTTTTGTTTGCCTATATACTCCAGGACAAGTTTTAATGTTTGTTAGCAAGAATGGCGTATTGTCAATTCGGCGCTATCTCCATTTGTGACTTTCGATCATCTCTGGGCCCACCAGTCTCGCTGTTTGTTAGTTTGCAGAGAGAATCTAGGGTGGCCGGATGGGTGAAGATAACATCTGACATGAGCGCCATTCTAGGGTATACCAACCAATTATTTGACTGTTAATTAGCTGGTGAACCCTAAAAGAGTTTTTTTTATGTTTGATAAAAATATTTTTACTTTTGTCCTAAAGCTAATTAAACAACAGCTCAAAATGCTTTATTTAGTATAAAATATTTATTTTCTTAAATAAATAAATTTGTTAAGCTTGAGGTCTTTCTTTCTGATTTAATTAGTGATCAGCCTTCAAACAATACATTTTTTGAAAAGGACAATCAAAGATGAGGCCAATTGGAATATGTTTGACATTGAATGTACTGATTGTTTGATACGGTCTTATATATTATAATTTTGATTTTATTGAAACAGAGGTTACAAATTTGTGAATATGTGTTCCCATTTGTTAGCCTTATAAATTAATAATTGCAGTTGCATTATCCTGATGATGATGACATATTCTTCAAAAGCTCGACGAAGAAAGCGGGTGTTTTCTTTCCAATGTACCACAACACAGAAGAATCCAGTCATTCTGAAATTCCTTTTAAAAAAAGTTACCTTATAATATAGTTCCTACTTTTCTATTAAGTCGTGAAAACAGTAATTACGAACTGTTAGACAATTAATAACAATAATTTCTTGTGCGGTTTAACGCAAACTCATACCCTAGTAACTACATAAATAAAATTTTCCAAGACCAACAGATTTCACAGTGAGGAAGTATAATACCCTTGTAATTATTTTGCCAAAACAAAAAAAAGGCACTTAGACTCAAAATTGAAGTAGCCTCACTCCAAGGCTTTAATGTCTTTTCTTTTACCTTATACACAATGGAAGCTCAACCTCCCCCACTGGTCGTAATTAGTGGGTAACTGCAAAACCCTCATCAAAACCACATAGTAAATTAAAGCGTTGGTAGAAAGGCATGTTTGCATCTGTGCGCTTTATTTCATGTTTCCCTTTTTTAGCAAGGAAATTGTTCCCCCACCATACTAAACTAGGAAAACTTAAAAGGTCTTTTTATCCTATAATAAAAAAGAGAAAGGTAATAAGTAAATATTTTAATGAGTTGGCTGAAGGTACGGAAGCTTCTGAAGAGTGAAAAATCTCATATAAATTATTCATAACGACAACGTACAGACGTATGGGTTAAAAAAATCGATTTAACATAAAATATCAAATGATACAAATGCAATATATATTTAGCCCCATACCGTTTGTTAGCGATGTTAAGTTGCTATTTCTCGCCAAGGAAGAAAAATGGGGCAATTGCCCTGAACATAGAAAGACACGTACAAAAGAGCACTTACAGACCGGCAAGCTTCACATTTGCCAGCCTATTCCGGGAAAATGTTGAAATCGCCGATCAAAGCCAGAATGGTGGAACAGCTGAGGTTGTACGCACTTCCCCACCAGGTAGGATTTTAACAGAAATAGAAATCAGCTGGAATGCTTTTCTCCCTTCCACCAATTCGTTACCTACTCTTGGGGCGAAACGCTATTTACAACGCCCACGTCGAGGCCTCCTCAAAGAAAGTTGTAGTAGACGTGGAGTAGTAGTAAGCAGAATAAAATGACTAGAGGGGGAGAAAGGACTAGGCGTGGGCATTTCCTCAACAAGGGCACATGTTCACTTAGATTTAAAAACACATTCTGGCCATCTTGGAGCCGCCTTCTATTCCTCGTTATTCTCAGTTTAAAAACTGCCTTTTAACAATATATATTTTATTAAAATATACAATATATGTACATATATTTTGAAAGAAATAGATAAAGAGAGGGAAAATGGGACCAAAAGACGAATCTGGAAGGAGTGGAATGACCTTAGTCGTTAAAATGTCATTTAAATGTAATAGTAGAAATAGCTAAGATAAAATAACAAGACATAAATGATCACTAATCATCACAGCTGGAAATATGATGAACCCAAATTTTATACCCTATTCACAACGAACGTTATTAAATAATAAAAATATTACTATTTTTCGAGTGTATACGCTTAATTATTGTGCCATAAACGTTTCAAATAAAAACCGAGAACATCAAACACACATACACTCGCACGCACACACACAAATTCCTCCTTAGTATAAACTGAGTGTGGTTAAGATTTTTTAAAAATAAACTGGGACTTTAATAGTAGCAATACGTTGCAGTTTTTGGTATCATAATGGATCTTATCGCTGAATGAGTGTCTAAGATTTAATTTATTTGATTTGATTTTAAGTTGTTGTTTTTTTTATTTTAAATAAAGTTATCTATCAAAATATCAAAAGAGAGAACAAAATGTCTAGACTCACATATTCAAGGGATGTATTTTAACGTACAATTACATTCAATCACTAACTCTCTCTTACTCTATCTCTCTCTCCCCATCGCTCTCACTCTCTCTCTCCCTCCCATCACTCTCTCTCTCTGTTTCTATCTCTGTTTCTCTATATCTCTGTTTCTTTCTCTCCCACTCGCTCCTCTCTCCCACTCGCTCTCTCTCTCTCTCTCTCTCTCTCTCTCTCTCTCTCTCTCTCTCTCTCTCTCTCTCTCTCCCACTCGCTCTCCCTCTCTCCCCATCGCTCTCTCTCTTTCTCTCTGTTTCTCTATATCTCTGTTTCTCTTTCTCCCACTTGCTCTCTCTCTCTCCCACTCGCTCTCTCTCTCCCATTCACACTCTCTCTCCCACTCACACTCTCTCTCCCACTCGCTCTTTCTCTCCCACTCGAGCTCTCTCTCCCACTCGCTCTCTGTCTCTCCCACTAGCTCTCTCTCGCCCTCTCTCTCTCACTCCCTTTCTCTCACACTCTCGCTCACCCTCCCTCTCCCTCACCCTCCATTCCACTAACTCTCCCGCTCTCTCTTGGACTCTCACACACTCTCCCCCAATATCATATCTCCGCATCTAATCAAATTTAAATCAAATAAACAGTTGATTTCGACTATTATGTGATGTCTTAATGAAGTAAATGAAGTAGCACAAGAGCAACATCTAATTGTATCCCTCCATCAATGATCGTTATTGACATTCTCTGCGAGGCACATTCTGGCAAGGCTTCCTTGGCCAGAGACCGAGGTCTTATTCATTTGTGACCTTCTCAACCGTTCCAAAACCATAAGAGCCCCGACGTCTCTGACCTCTATAATACAGCTTAACCTATTTTATATATATAAATGTATATGCATACATTGATATATTTAGATTTATGTTTAACTTAGTTTTTGAACAAACTAGATTTAGACAGAATGCAATTTTACTCGTAACTTTGGCCTGAGAGCTCATTGACTTGGCCACCGTTTGAAATATTCGAAATATTATCTGTTGATAAGCGGCGTATTTATGCAAGCGTATTAAGTTTACGCTGAAAAATAAGTTTAAAAAAGTCGTATTAATGGAACCGCTGAGCATAGGAACATAGGTCCTTTTCTAATAATGTCGTGCATAAATCCATGACTAGCCACCCAACTTAACAATTTGTTAAATGCAAAGATTGGCTAGGTGGCCTGCAAGTCAAGGTTGACAATTAACAATATTATCTGTATCCGGTTATTCCGTCAAGTTCGTACCTAAATACAAGGAGACAACAACATATATATATTTTTTTAGTATGTATTTAAACATTTAAAATATAACAGTTTGTTAAATATAGTGACAGGTTTATCAGATGAAAACTTGAAATAATGCAACTCAGAGCATGACATCAGCAATCTAATTTTAATACTCACAAAATAAAAAATTGCACAAGCAAGCAGGATTGAAAGGTCAAATTATTCACTTTTTACGATTCGAGGATAAATGTTGATCACCGACTAAATTATTTACAATGAACGATAATGACAAGAATAAAATTAAGAATACCCACAGCAACACATTCCTAGTCTATTTGCCAACATATTACACAATTTATCCCTTCAGTCTTTGTCTTTCCAATTTT